ATTGCCACCTTGATTCGTGGCATACCTCATTATCGATAGTGAGTACTATGTTAGACCTATCTACTGGCTTATGGCTATACCCCAACTGTTTTAGTTGTTGCCAGACTGTAATGACACGACTGCAAACAAACCATACCACGGGTGGAGTTTGAACCCGCGGTCCGAGTCTCAAAACTCCAGACCATCGTGTTAGCCACTGGGCCAACTAGCTTCAAGATTCGTCCAACTAGGTATACTTCTAACACGACAGTCTGGAGTTTTGAGACTCTCTGACCGTGGGTTCAAACCCCACCCATGGTATGGTATGTTTCTTACATAATTTTGAAAAAAAGAATATAGTTGGATTAATGAAAATGTATAAATTAAATTATGGGGAATCAATACAAAATGGGAGTTGAGACAGTTACTTTTTGCTGATGATACTATGCTTTTGGACATTCTAAAGAGAAGTTGCAAAGGTTAGTGGATGAATTTGGGAGGGTATGTAAAGAAAGTTGAAAGTGAACATAAATAAGAGCAAGGTGATGAGGGTATCAAATGAATTAGGTAAAGAATACTTGGTTATCACATTGGAGGGAGTATGGAAGAAGTGAATGTGTTCAGATATTTGGGAGTAGATTTTTCAGCAGGTGGGTTTATGAAGGACGAAGTTGACCATAGAACTGATGAAGAAAAAAGGCGAGTGGTGCATTGAGGTACCTGTGGAGACAAAAAATGTTATACATGGAGGCAAAGAAGGGAATGGTTTGGTCATTCAGAGAGGTTGAGCAAAATAGGATGACTTGGAGGGTGTATAATTATATCTGCAGTGGGGGGGAGGAGGGGCAGGGGCCTGTCCTAGGAAAGGATGGAGGAAGGTAAAAGAGGTTTTGTTTGTAAAGGGCCTGGATATGCAGCAAGCATGTGTGAGTGTGTTAGATTGTGAATGGAGACAAATGGTTTTTGGGACCTGATGAGCTGTTGGAGTGTGAGCAGGGTAATATTTTGTGAAGGGATTCAGGGAAACCAGTTAGCTGGACTCGAGTCCTGGAGATGGGAAGTACAATGCCTGCACTTTAAAAGAGGAGTTTGGGATATTGGCTGTTTGGAGTGACATCTAAACTGTCATATTTGGGCACCTCTGCAAAGACTGATATTGTGTGAATGATGGTGAAAGTGTTTCTTTCTCTTTTGGGTCACCCTTCCTTGGTGGGAGACTGCCGTCACGTTGAGAGAAAAAATGTATAAAATAAGCAATAGCTTTAAAACGCTTGAAATTTTAGAAAGTTTCCAGATATAATCAAGATGCAGAGCTCACAAAGGATATAAACAAACAGACTGGCACACAGACACCGTAATTGCAAATCAGGGAGGGAGATGTATAAATGAATTTTGGTCATAATTTGAAATGTCTCTATTAGCAAAACACCATCAAGCAAAGTGCTGTAAAGTGGGGCCCTCCTGTACCTAGTACATTTTTGCCAAATACTGACTGCTTGAGGTATTCATCTAAATTATGCTGGGTAAGACTGCTATTGGTAGAATCTCTGTTAATGTCCCTTCCTCAACACCACTTCTTTCTCCACTCCTCACACCAATCATCCTTTGCATTCAGCACTGGCTGTGTTGCCTCTTCAGCAGACAAAGACAGTCTTTTGCTGGTCTCCTGGTCATTCTGGTGTCCAGGGAAATGAACTTACTCTTCTGCACATTCCACAGCGCAAAACCTGTCCATCTCTTCCATGGATTTACCCTAGTTTAGACTATTTTCCAGTGAACAAAAAGGCACAATACCATGACTGGAACAATACACAAATAACCCACACATAAAGGAGCTTATGTCATCGTGAGCTCATCTTTCCTATATGCGGGTTATTTGTGTATTTTCCAGTATTGTCTGTTTTGGAGCATTAAAGATCAATGGTAACATTGTTAGTCCAGGTTAAAGACAACAAGGAGTTTTTGATTAAACTACAGATGGATTGTTGGTTGACTTCCTGCTATCACTGTCATGTTTGGGAAATGGTTCTTTATTGACTGTGAATTGGCCAAATAAGATTGACACAGCTATCACATGGAGAGATGCTCAGCACCTCTCCATGCAACCTGTCAGAATTTGACAAGTTGCATGGGGACAATTAATCAGGTTCTGTTTAATTGTCCCATTTATCAAAGAACTGGATTAATTTTTTGCTATGTTTTTTAAGTGCATGGAGATTTCATTTCTTTTAAAAAGCCCTACTTTTAGTGCAGACACAATCCAAGACTTTTTGACTGAAACTGACAAGTTCATTTGTCACAAACTCCCCTTTACTGACAGCTCCCATGAGTCTTGTGATGCTGAAGGATGCAAGTAATGAACCAATGAACATGTACTGTACAGTATGTATGTCCCACTGATTACAGGTTTACACATTGACAAATTATTAGCTTTTTTTTTTTTTACAGGTTAATCTAACCTGTGGTATGAATTTATTAATTACATATATATTTAACAAACAAGTTCAACGTCTCAGTACAAGTTTTAAAGATTAAGCTTTCAAGCTTTTATCTCTAATCCTTCTCAATGAAGAAAAACGTTTTTCCAGATGATGGGTGAATATGAGAACTATCTACATACTCGTAGGAAAATGGAATGCAACACCTATTGGTTTGTCTTTACTTATTTCAGAATATATTGCTAAAATAGTTTATATTTTTATATAACAAAGCACTTTTAACTAAATACTGTGACTTCTTAATACTCCAATAAGTGATGCATAATTTACCAAATTTTAGGCCATTAATTTGTAAACAAAGTGGCCAACAGCCCTCGCCTTAATGAATTTATATATTTTTATATGAAACTGATGACTACCATGCCTACTAAAAACAGTCAGTGTTATACATATTAACAATTTGCATGTCAAAACTTTGTTTAAATATAAAATGAAATACAATGTTACAGTATCAGTTAACATGGTAGTTTTCCTGAAAAAGGTGTAATAAAAATATCGTGTAAAATGAATTAAAGAACATATAGGAAAAACAGGGTTATGTTCCTTCCATCCCCCATAAAAGAAAACAAATTTTTTTTAAGATATTGAAATTGTAAAAAAAAAAAAAAAAAAATAATTATAGGTCAATATACTAGTGTGTTAGTTAATACAATACTTACAGCAACAAAAGTTATGTAAATAATATTTACCTTAAATCCTGTATTTTTTATGTATGTCAACGATTTTAAAAGGGGAGTGCAGATACAGCTTATAAATCGTTGACCAAGGTTTTGCACTGATATCGATGATTGTACTTTAGTACCGAGGAATTCTGTAATGCGTCTCTGGTCTCTTTTAAACTGCAGTAGTTTATGCAGCTGATGGTAAGGCATCATCAGCTGTGTGGCGTGAAGTGGAAGGATGGTGTGGGTAAAGGCGTGTAGTCATGGGGAAGTGTATGGGTGAAGGCTGCTGTGTGTGGGAAGGGGATGGAGGCGAGTGGGAACAGAAAATGGGGCGAGGTAGATGTGGGAGGCATCGAGTGAGGCATGGGTAGGTAAGCGTTAGTAGTATGGGTGAAGGCAGTGGAGCTGTGTAGTCAGGTAGCACATGTAGAGGTTGCTGGATGTTTGGGGGTAGGTGTGTGGCATTGATGTGGGTGGCAGTGAATGTAAGAGCAGGTTTGAAGCAGATGAAGGTGGTTGTGGGTGCATGTCAAGGGTGTGAGTGGAGGTAGGTGGAGGCTGGTGTTGGTTGAAAGGTGTGGGTGAATGTCACTGTGGGTGAAGGGTGTGAATGCAATAAATGGGAAGAAGTGTGGGAGATTAGTGTGGTTGAGAACAGGTAGGTGGTGGATGAGGGTTAGTTTCAGTGAGGGGGAGGTGTGGACATGCTGTGGGAGAAAAATGGTGTGTGAGGACATCATAAAGGTATGGGTGTAAGGGCACATGGCTTGTCAGTCACAGATACCATATCCACATTACTGCTACCAAGCAGAGAAAATCTCAATTTTCTTCACACCACCAAGACTTTCATGCTTATGCTTCTTCTTTGCACTTCTAGAATTACTCTTACTTCTCTTGGGTGCCATAGTTACCATCTAGAGATGAGTAAGAATGATGAAAAGATAAATGACTGATTCATTAACATTGACCGAGTATAAATGGAGCACTGAGGCGTTGTGTACATTATATAGGCCTCTCCATAGGCTCAATGAACTGGAGTGGGAAAAATCTGGCACATACCACATTTTTCCCTACATGTACTCCACTGTATAAAATGATTAATACAGTGTCAAAAATATGCCACAAACTGTGTTAATGTGAAAGCATTAACAGATTACACATTAACTGATGGTCTACTGTACATGCACTGAAACGTTGTTACATCATCTCTTTGGCACATAAGGTATAAAGTACAATAACAATCTCATAGCAATAAAGTACAAGTAAAAAACTTAAAGGCAATTTACAAAAAGTCTAAATAATGCAGGTAATATAGAACTTTAAAAGTTAATAAAATTAGCAAATGTAAATGAACATTCAGTCATCAGCCTCATACAAAACTGTCACACATTAGTTTTTATATTTAGTAAAATATGCATCATTGTGATCTTAAATACAATATAAAAGCCCATACTAAATTATTAGAATATATCATAAATTAGAAAATCTCCTTTGTAAAATACAAAATAAGTGGGTCCAAGACTTTTGGTTGTTAAATTTTGTATGTTTACCAATCAAAATCTTAATCATTATATAATTGAACATCCTAAAATAAAAAACAATTATAGTGACAGGTGATTTTTTTTAACTAATTTCAAATAAGGACTCACTGACTAAAGACCTTCAAAAAGGTATCTTTAAGATAATAACAATACACATTTACAAAGACTAGGAAAGACAGCTGGCAAACTGAGGAGAACTTAGAACATTCTATCATTTGCATCAGTCATGTATTTGAAATAGCAAGTATACATTAATCTCAATGAAACTTGCACTGATCACTGATTGGGCAGAGAGCACAATCCAGGCAGAAGCAAAATTCTGAGTAGCACATCAAACTACTCCCTATTTAGCTTTTCCTTATGAGGTACCACCTGGCATGAGCTTTTCTAATGCTGCTTGAACACCCTTCTCTTGGTATTCTTCTCTCGAGATCCAAAAGTTGTCTCTGTCTTTCATGACATCGGCCAACACAGCTCCACCAATAAACACCATGTCCTTCCGTCGTGGAGGGTCTTCAATTCTTATTTTTAGTTTTGATAATCTCTCTACATCACCCTGAAATTAAGAGGTTAATGAATTATATAAAACAACTTCGAGCATCATGCCTACAAATCTAGCATACAGTGGTACCTCGGTATACGTCCACTGGAATAAGTCCAACTTGGTATACGTCCTGTTTGAATGCGAAAATTTTTGCTTGGTATATGACCTTTGTTTGGAATACAACTCATGTACTAGAACTCATATGGGTCAAAATGAGTCACAACACTGAGCGCTACCTTTGTTTACCTCTCTCTCAAGACAAAGCCACAACTGCCCACTAGCGTCAGTACACCTGTTGCTACCATTCAGTGAACAACCCACGCTGTAATTCTCTGAATTTTCATGTGATTTTGTGTTTTTTTCGTATAAATTTTTGGTAAATTCACTAACCATGAGTTCTAAGAAAGTTAATGAGAAAAGCCAAGCAACAAAGAAAATGGTTAAGATCACCATGAAGGTGAAAAAAGAGATTGTCGGAAAGTATGAAGGTGGCATGCGTATCAGGGATTTGGCTGCTGCAGACCATATGCTGAGAACAATGGTATCTACGATTGTGAAAAACAGATGTCATTAAACTGGCTAACATTGTGAAGGGGGTGAAAACAGAAAAACAGTGTGCCAGCAATAGAGTATCAGAGGCAATGATTTGCGAAAAGGCAAAACTGATGCATGCCAATCTTATGAAAAACAAAGCAGGAATGAGCCCCTACTTCATTAAGCAAGTAAATCTTTGCCAAATGGATGGACGTCAAAAACTTTCCAGAGAAGTACCATCCCAACAAAGCCCCAACAAGCTGTAATAGCATTGTCTGGAATGACCAGACAATGTTACATTTCCGAAATATCCTGAGGAGAAGGCAGAAGCAAAGTTCTTTGGACAGATTTGTAGTAAAAGTCAAACCTGGTGAGCTTCAACCAGGTCCAAATAGGGAAGAGAGACAGAAAAGAGAAGGGGACTCTCCTTCCAAATAATATTTCCTCCTCCCTTCTCAGCACTATCCTAGTAGGCACTCGACTCTTGTCAGCAAAGTAGAGTGAGGTTAAATCTGCATTTCATCTAATTCTTTTGTATTTATATATGTATTTTAATATTAGTGTTTAAATTACATATTTTAGTATTAAGCAGTGTTTAAATTATTTTACACAACCCCATCAATGTATAATATGCCAATAACAACAGGATTTTTTTTCATGGGAACGGATTAATCATTTTCCCTATATTTCTTATGGGAAAATTTGTTTGGTATACGTCCTGTTTGGTACAAGTCCATGGTCCTGGAACAAATTTAAGGACATATACCAAGGTACCACTGTATTTATAAAAGCAAAGTTATAAATTTTAAA